GGGACCTGAAGTATCATCAAGTCCCAATCCCCCTGCCACAGGCAGGTTGTCAGACTCTAGATCAAGTACTGGATCATCTCTTTGTACACTTCTGTAGAGCACTGCAAACTTCCAGCGTACTTCAAAAATCACTCCAAAGTAAGCAGTTTGTAATTTCCAGAATGTAAAATTATTCTTGATTTTTGGATTTTGAGTATTCTACCTACTGTTCATCCTCTAAAATCAGAAAATGCTTTTCTAGCCATTAAGCATTACTCCAAGAAACAAAGAAACAAGACAGATGGAGAAAGGTGTATTCAAACAAGCAGTTATAGTAAGAAATGGAGAACTAAACAGAATTTCAGTTTCCACACTTACATTTATATCAGGTTGTTTTGCTTTTTGTTTGTTTGTTTTTGTACATGGTGCAGAACCAACATTTGTGAATAATATGTTAGAGTATTTTAATGTCCTTTCTTTTCTCACACAGGGGCGGGAGCCCTGTCATCCCAGATCCCACATTTGGCTTGTTCTGTGTATCATATCACACTGAAAGACTTACCAGCCATGGTTAGGCTTTGGTGGAATAGCTGTGACAAACGTGTCTTCAATGTTGTGGATAAATTTACAAGCAAGTATGTCAGCAGCGTGCTTTCTTCACAGGAAATATCTTCTGTTCAGACTAGCACACAGCTATTTAATGGCATGACGGTTAGTAAGACTTCTTGTTCGTTTTTTATTTTGCTTTTTGTAGAACATGAAAGAAACACTGTTTCTTAACTATTACAGTATTTTACATGATTGCATTTTAATATTCTACATGGTTGATGAGAAAATAATTTAGCTTGCTATTGATATAAGAAGTGTCTATTTATGAGCGTTCTGTTTTGAATGAGTTCAAAAAGAATGGGTTTTATGAATGTTGGAAAAGTAGAAGAGGTAAATGAAAGATTTTGCTATCAGTATACTACTTTTTGGTTCATTTAAAAAAAAATATATATAATCAGCCATTAGATTGAGAAATGGCTGTTAATTTCTTAGATTGCCAAGATATGAGTGAATTCTTTCTCTTTTGAGAAAAATGTTTTCGTAGCCTAAGAAAATTATTTAATGTTTGTAGGACTTACAGGTCTTATATCTTAAAAAGGCTAGAGAAGGATGTGTGTCTCTGATTGTAGAGATTTTTAATATTTGCATTTTTTGCATAGGTAAAAGCTCGGTCTGCTGCACGGGAAGTCATTGCTACTTATTCAGTTGATGATATATTTATTGAACTAATAATACAGCTTCCATCAAATTACCCACTGGGGTCTATAACAGTTGAGAGTGGAAAGAGAGTTGGTGTGGCTGTTCAACAATGGCGCAATTGGATGCTGCAGTTAAGCACGTATCTTACACATCAGGTGAGTTTAGAGAAAGCCTCTAGTTTTGAAACTAGATATATTGAATACTAGAAATATTCCTAGCAATATACTGTTTAGATTTATATAATGCATCTCTTCAGATCACAAACTTCTTTATAGAATTGGTTACTCTTATCATCTGCTTTTCTCCAGATGTTAAAACAAAAAAGGGAGGTAAAATTATCTGTGTAGTTAGTCCTGAAAAATTCATAGCCAAAATTGAGAATTATAAGATCTCATAAGGCATGGGCCAGTAGTCACAGCATGTGGCACTGCCATCTCAACTGCAGTTTGAAAAAAAATACATACCTGAGATTGGTGATTGCTGAAGTAGCATCATCCGAGTTTAGAACAAAGGATTTTTTTTTTTTTTTGTGAGGCTTGTTTGCAATTCTAAAGATTAAAATTCTATAAAAATGTATAGTTCATATGTTGGTGTTGTAAATTACTTAACTACACGTTGCCAAAAACTTGATTTTACAGTCTTCAGGTTTCATTTCCTTGATGTATAACAGTAAGAATATTCTGAAGGAATTGTGTGACAGTAATAACTTTTTCTTCTGTTAGAATGGAAGTATTATGGAAGGCCTATCTCTGTGGAAAAATAATGTGGATAAACGTTTTGAGGGCATCGAAGATTGCATGATCTGTTTCTCAGTCATTCATGGTTCCAACTATTCTCTGCCCAAAAAAGCTTGCAGAACATGCAAGAAAAAGTTTCATTCAGCTTGCTTGGTGAGTACCTACACTAAATCCTTCTAATATGTAAAGTGTCCTTTAATAGTTTGAGGAAGGTAGTTCTACTGCAGTGCCATCAAATGTCCACTGTGTTGCTGGAATATCTGGGATTAAGTGAATTCAAAATAATTTGCAGGAATTCTATGGTAAGATGCACTGAGAGAGGAATTCTACTCCAAAGAGTTTTTGTGTTGGCTAAAATGTAAGCCATTACGTCTGGCTTTGGTGTAGCAAGAACATCTTGATGTTAGCAGCTTGGATAAGGGAGGAGAAAAAGTTAAAAATTAATTTACATAGCATGCTCCTCTTCTGACCTGCTAATCTGGATAATAAACTATATCCAAGATGTCATAGGTGTTTTTGTATGGTTACTGAGTATGCTGGAGCATATTGACACCTGTATTGCCATACAAGAGAGGAATTCCTGCTGCTTTGAAAACACAACTTTTGGCTAAAATTAGACTGGACAGGAATTACTTTGTGCATGTATTTGGTTTTTGTTTGTCTTTAGAATAAAACTTCTGCACGTGCAGTGTATGTGTATGCACACGCATTCAGATGTGCATATATACACACACACATGTATGTATGTAAGGGGAAAGGGCTTTTTAGCTGTTTTTTGTGTTAAGTAAAATGAATGTTTTGATAGTTTTCTTCATTCACTAGTAAAGCTTATTACCAGTGACAAAACAGTGCTCTTGGTACTTAGCTTGCACTCATCTATTAAGCTGTGCTATTTCTTTTTCAGTACAAATGGTTCACGTCCAGCAACAAATCCACCTGTCCACTTTGTCGAGAGACATTTTTCTGAATAAAACGGTCTGTCTTCTTTCTGTGAGCTAAGTAATACATGAAGAAGAGGCAATAAACTGTGTGTTGAGCAAAGCAAACTACTTGGAAATGATTTCTATTACTTAGAATTCTTGACTGTTGGGATATGACACATATTTACCTCTGGACTGTTTTTTGTAAGAGATTGAAGAGTCGTCTTTGATATAAAGAAATATATAAGAGTAATTTATTTTGATTTGTATATTTTTAAAGTATTAAGATATGTTAAAAATTCCTAAGTGATGTAGAGTTATGTCTGAAAATTGGTGTTTAAGCCACAGCATAATTGATTAAAACCTCTTATTTTCAGTGTCATGGTGGCATGCACTTAAGGCCAGATCATGCCTATTAATATAACAGGTGAATTTAACATTGGTGGCATAAAGACTTGATTTTTTGATTATAATATATGTGGGTTCCCTTATGGGGAAGGTAAAACAAAAATTAAAAATAATAATAAAAAAAAAACTGCAGTTAAACATTGAGGCATGGACTTAGGGCGATAATTTTCTGTTGAAATATGAAATTTAAACATAGCATGCTCTAAATTAACATTTATAAATTGAGTTTTCACCTTTGTCTTATTTTCTGAAAAAAACTTCAGCCAACCAGCACTCAAAAACCTTGAAAACCCTGAAGTTTAAGGTAGTACAGAGGGCACTGTCATTCCTGCATGACAATGAGAAACACTGCCCATTGATGGCAGATTGGCTTTTAAGAAGACATGCACACCAATCAGTTCTTCTATGGTCATTATTTCAGTTAATGTCTTTGTTAGCTGAGGCATAAACTATGACTGAATTTATCATGTAATTCCAGTCAAAAAGTCCCATAATAATAAGGGCTCTGAATGAACATGATAGATATATCAGAATTTAACATTGTCTTCATTCCACTAGTCTTTATTCATATTGTTGTTTTGTTAATAGCAGTAGCATACTAATATACTCCACCTTGGATGGTGTTGTTCCATGGCAGATTTCTTGGAAAACTCAATAAAAGAAGAGGAATGAATGAATGTTGTTAGTCTGTGTAGTTTCTGGATTGCTTTCTCTTCTTCCTTGTGTTAAACTTCCAGAAATTAATAGTATAATTTTTCAGATAGTTTCTGGCATACTTAATTGACTGTATCTCAACAGCTGGTTGCTTCAGGTGCTCTGTTCACTCAATGCTGGTCCCTTTAGAAGTAATTTTTAACCGTTAAGTCTTTAGCAGATACCACTGTGCTTTCAGAAGAGAATTTTAATTTTTTTTGAGAGAGAAGGGGAATCGTTCACAGTTGGTACTGAAAAATCCTAACTGGAAACACAGGCTAAAGGAGTAAGCTGTGTTATTTTCCTAATTACTGAAACTCTGGTTGTTGTGTTTGTTGTATCACTGTTTCAGATATGACTATTTTATCTGACTTAATTGCAGGTTTGATAACTGTTTTGAAGGCCAACTGATGTTAACCAGGTATTGCTTGAAAAGAGCCACGTTAATTTACTCGGTCAGGCTCGAACTTGCAAATTGTCTATGAGTCTAATTGGTTTAATTGTTTAGTTTGTCTAACAGAACCAAGTGCAAGTGCTGGCGAGTCCTCTGATATGCCACTGTCTGTATCTGAATAACAGCTTTCTGTTTCTTACAGAACAATGCTTGGGAGTACTGAGGAACAGAATTCTTGCATTCCTCTTGCTAAGTCTGGCACTATATACATAATCTGCATCTGCCATGCAGCTTATTCTCATGCAGTGAACGCAGGGGTGCTCCTTCGAAACTTTTCAGAAATAGTATTGAATTCTCTAGTCTTCTAGAAGGCAATAGTTGTACCCTGGCAAATGCTAAGTGTCTCTGCAGTCATCGCAGTAGCTGCAGCAAACTTCAAAGTTCAGGGGAAAAAGTAGTTTTTGCCTGTCACTAGTTTCCAGTCTCCAGCAGGATGATGATAGTAGCATTAAAAAAAAAAAAAAAAAAGTCTTAAAAAAAAAACCTCACCCATGTTCTTCCTTGGACTGCATTTTGAAAAACTGTTCCACAAAAATTGCAGCTGACATCAGTACACCTTGGCCAGGAGAACTGATTCATTATTTATTAAAGTGGACACATCTATTTCCTTGTTTAGAAATCCAGCTGCCAGATAGTCCATTGTCATCTGTTTTTGTTGAAAGCATGTTATGTTTTATTACATGTTGTACTCTGATCTATTATTGTCATTTATAACTTGTATTAAAGCCACATGCTCGAGGGCTAACTGCATTTTTTCTCCTTTGAGTACCTGTTTTTATGCTAATTCTTTAATTACAGCTCAGAGTCAGATGAATTTAAAAATTCCCTTTGTTAAACTTGCAGTTTGATTCCATTATATATTTTAACTCCATCATAAAATTGTTTTTTTGATGTCATGATCTTTGCACAGCAACCTTTGGTCAAAATGATTAACAACAGAAAGCCTACAGAGCCATCTCAAGGATGAACAGCACTACAGCTGTAACACCAAAACCATAACTCTGCATAAAAGCAGTATCAATGAGTAGAGAACCTCCCCTCCTTACACTAAAGGAGGTAAATTGCAAGAACATGAATTGCTTAAATTCATCACTAGAAAGAGACTATGGAATTGTTATTTCACAGGTGGTCACAAAGTTTCATCTCAGTTCCTCACCTTTGGCATTTCTTAGACAAGGTATTCTGAAGTTAAGAATCAAAGATAACTAGTCTCATTTTGGTCAGTGAGACTCACTTTGTTATTTAGGGATTCTTGTACTTAAACATCAGGTAATATCCTTTGCATAATTGAATCTTCTGTCTAAATTCTCCTTCTGAGTGTTTGTGCTCACATTCATATTAATACATATAAAAACATACTGACAAAAAAGAAAACCTACGTTATCTGAAAGTAATGCATTAGCTGTGCTTGAATTGAATTGCAGTTCTTGTTTTTCCATAGTCTTCTGAGTTGGGGAATAGTGATCTTGGAATGCAGAACAATCACCACTGTGTACTGCCTGCGCTCTTCAGCATAGTACAAGGAATAAGCTTTCTGCCTGAGAAACATCAACTTCTGACCTGTATCAGTCAAAAAGTAGTCTCTCACATGACATTGCAATAAAATGTTTCATCCCCAGATGGTTGGTCCAGCTAGGTTTGTAGTGGTGTGTTTCTGCTAACAGGCCCTACGCTTTTATTTCTTTTATGGTGTGAAAAGATGAAAAACTTTCAAGTTTTTGCCACCTAGATTTGTAGCGAGTTATACACTCATAGTCAGATAGAATAATTATTGTAAAGCCTCAGTAACTGACAAAACAAATGAACAAAAAAATTGTGATTTTAGTCCCCATGAAAAGAGCTAACCAATCATTTAAAGTTTCTGTTAACACAGCACCTTAAAGATCAGTTTCTATGAAAGCCGTGCCTTGTATTACATCAAAATGAGTAACGTGATTTCAAATTTTCGTTTAAACCAAACAGAGGAACAGACTAACTGTTAAAACAGTACAAATTACATCAAATACATACGTTCTTTCAATAAGCCAAAAAAATAAATACACAAACTCCTACTTGTAAAAGTAGCAAAGTGCAAAAGATGATGCGTTATGGTATCTTCCAGTTTCACTTACAACTCTCCTGCAGCTAGCCAGAGAACAGCTGTACCTGACAACCAGATAAAAGCTGGCTGACATCCAGAATAAAAGTAAGGACAGTCTTGATCAGTTTCATTGCAATGATGAGGAAGTAAGGATGCACTTTGTCCAAATATGACTTAAAAAATGATTTGACAACTTCAGTACTCTGTATCCAACCTTTGGCATGCCTAGTATATATAACAAAAGCAGTTATCCAGGCTTCCTAAATTTGAGGATGGTCAGCATCTCTTGTCCTGCTTGTCTGGAAAGCAGTCGTGTGCCTTCCAAGCCATGTTTCTTCATTGTTTCCAGAATTTCATCTATAATGAAAAGTACAGTGTTACAGTAAGTTTGTAGAGAAGTCATCTATAATAAGCAATACTAAACTGCTGCTAAGCATAAGCTACACCTGTCATTTTAGACAGTAATTTTTAGACAAAGTAGTCTTCCACCCTGAACAAATGAAGTTTACATTTTGCTGAACAAAGTTCAGTATTTTGGTATAACAATCAGTAATTCCAAATTGAATTATTGTTCTTCTCAAAACCCCTTCATAATGTACAACCCGTTGAGCATTAGGTCAGAAGGAGCAACTCCGACCTGTGTAGAGAAATGATTCAGAAATAAAAACATCTTATTTCCAACTGTCAGATTTTACCTTTGAGTTTACAACACCAGTCTCTTTTGTAAGAAGGGGCTGGCCTGGATTCATTACCTAGTTCAGAAGATTTCAGACTTGGAATTGCAGTCTTAAGAGCTGCTGGGCTTGGGACATGCATACTACAGTTTCTTCATACTGCTGTTTTCTGAAGTAGCTTAGAGAGTTCTTAATGTTGGTAAAACATGTTCTGGTTTAGTTCACCATATGCTGAGTGTGCTAGCCACAAATTCAGAAAATGGACAGTAAGAGGCATCAGGTTATATAAAAGTCACTCTGCTGTTTAGTCACCCACACAGATTTGTGGAAACATGAATGCACATAAATGACATGCTTTGTATGTAGCATGCAAATATGCCACTGCATTTCTAACAAATGGCCTCGCATACCTATCTGAATTGCAGTCCACACTGTCAAAATAATGTGCTAGTTCTAAAACAGATTAGACTTCTGTACTACTTTGTTCTTGTTTACCGAGTTCTGATAGCCTCCAGAGCACTGTCGTAATCAACAATTTGATTAATGGTGTTAAATGTGGTTTGGAACAAAGGGGTCCAAAGAAACTGATCACCTGGGTTATTTTCTTTAATTGTGACCAAGTAAAATAATCCTCCTGTTGAAAGCAAGTCTGCTACTAATGGAAAAACTCTGTCCATTACTTCTCTGCCCTTTTTGCCACCAGCCCAGGATGCTTCTATTCCGTGGCTTTGCACCTAGGAAGAAGGAAAACAAAAACCATCTTCCTCAATACAGAATAACAAAGATGTCAGAGGTAATTGAACAATTACAGTCTGAGTTCTCATACCTCAGCTGATTTGATTTGCCAACTCCCTTGACAGCAAAAAAGGCACATTTATTGCAGATTTTGCATCTATTTTTTCCTACCTCTTCAGAGGGTGTTACCACATATGGTGGATTAAAGAGCAGTAGATCAACCATCCCATTTAATCTTGGTGACAGTCCTTTGACCTAGAGATGAAATTATCAATTCCTTTGTTAGTATTATTTTATTTATTTTTACTATTACTTATTTCCATTTTGCAAGCATACAGTTACATAGTGCTGGCTATTTTCCTATCAATTTAAACTGCCACTCAGACAAAATTGAAATAAATAAATAGCAGAGAGTGTGCTATTAAGGTGCAAATGTGTTAATCGATGAGAATTCAGACCCACAGGTGACCTAAAAATAACCAGGAAGTATTTAACAAGTTTGTAGCATTTCCGAATAGTTACAGGTTGTTTTCTAAGAGATGACAAACTAAATTTGATGTCTGCCAAACCTGTGTAATACCACCTCTATCACTGTTCTAGAAAACAAGCTACTTGTCCTTCTGTCTTGTGTGAGGCCAGTAAAACTGCATTAGTACATGTAAATCCTTATCTACTTTGCTTTCTTCTGAGTGTAGCATGCTGTCAACTTTGGCTTGGTTCCAACCACTTCAGCCTGACTCAGGAACACCAAACTTTCTACGTGCAAGAGAAGCAGAACAGTATTCTTAAGACAATGTTACAGTGAAATGTAGAACAGCAAGAGATACACATACAGATACAAAGGTAATATTTTATTCTTGCAGTCTAGTATTTTCATCATTTTTTTTAACTGTGCTTATCAAGAGTGTTCTTCTAGAATTCGTGGTTATAAACTGTAAAGAAAATTACAAAAACTATCAAGAAGCTGATATTGAAGCTATCTTACCAAGTCAGTAATGACTGGCTGAAGGTGAACATTGTTCAGCTGAGCTGTCTCCAGTGTACAGTAAGCTGCCATAGGATTGATATCTGTACATCTTAAAGCAAAACACTGTAAGTTACTGGTTCCTGTATCTGCAAGATTAATGCTGCAAACTGCATGTTGACTAAGGCAATCTCAAGAATAGTCTTTACTTTATAAGAAATAGTGACAAATAGCTAGGAAAACATATGCAGTGTATCAGCAGCTACAACATTCAGTTCTATACTGGAAGCTGGATTTGGGAAGTTGAACCAGATAACCTTTAAAGGTCCCTTCCAATTCAATTCTGTGAGTTCTTAATGACTGTTTGAAAGCTGAAATATGTGAAAATAAGCATTTCAAATAATTATACTTTCAATGCCAGCTCTGTACGTAAACATATATGCATACACTCCCTAGTAAATCTCAGTTAACCACCAACAACCTAATGTGTCAATACCGTCTAAGGAGTGGGAAAACTGAATTCAAGCCATATTTCTGCCTAATAGGTACACAATTTAAGGTAAGCAGATAAGGCTCCCTTCAGTCTGACTATCGTCTGTGTAGAACTGACGTGCTATTTCTCTACGGAATGGGGAATCTTTAAAGCGAGACGCAAACACGGCGAGGTCTAGGTAACCTTCATACAGCAGCCTCGCTGTTATACTCACAGATAGAGCGCACTGGCTCCAATGATGGAAGCTAGGAATGTTGAAACCACGCCAGACCCAGACCCTATTTCAAGGCAGACGTCGATCCTAAAGACAGAAAACTGCGGTGAGTTTTTTGGTGACGTACCCGAGCCCCTCCAGCAGCCACAGAATCACTCAGGGCAGCGTTACGACACGTGCCCCGCCCCGCTTTCCCCACAGCTGCCTGCCGCGTGTACCCCGCCTGCCGGAGCTGGGCCGCATCCCGCTCTAGGGCGTCCAGCAGCAGGAAGGTGTCCTCGGCCGGTTCGTACACGTCCCGGTAGGGGCCGCGCGGCCCCATATGCTCGTATCGCGGCGTGGGGACGGCGGGCGCCGCCATCGGCGCTCGGGCGGTCGCGCATGCGCACACTCGCCCCCCTACGTCTCGGCCATCAGCGGAAGGGAAGGGAGGCGGGGCCAAGGCCTGCGCCACCAATGGGAGAGCGTAGGTTTCGCCCCGCCCCCAGGTCAGCTCTGTCGAACTTCGTTTGGTCGGTAGCGCTGCTGAAGCAGCGGGCGAGGGTTATTGGGGTGTACGCAGGCTCCGCAGAGCCATGATCAGTGAGACTGACTGGTTTCACCATCCTGATCCGCTTTCAGAATCTTCACGAGTCAGGGACTTGCACCAGCTTAGAATCATAGAGTTCTTAGAGTTCGAAGGTGCCTCTGTAGGCCACCTAGTCCAGCTTTCCTGCAATGAGCAGGGACACCACTGCCCAGGGTCTGATCCAGCCTAGCCTTGAAAGTTTCTAGCTTCTCAAAGCTCTTCCAGAGAAATAGCTCTGCACCACAGTTAGCAGGAAGCCAAGCTAGAGAGGCACTGCTGAAGAACGTGGGTGTTAGTTCACAGCAAAGATCACAGCAGAAGGATTAACATTGCCACTCAGTGTTTGCATGAGTATGTCTCTGGATCTGCCCATGATTCTTGACAACAGCCTCATGTCCAGCTGTATGAATGCTCAATTTCAGGCAGAAATCACGCCCTACAAAACTGGGAATAGAGGGCAGCTTCAGGGCAGAGATCAGGAAAAGAGCAATTTGCTTTTGATAGCAAATAGAGGAAGGAGGGTCAGTGTTCTGGTCACCATGAAATGTGTCCCTTTGTTTGTGTGCCAAACCCTCTTGTTCTGAAAGTGGAACAGATACCTAGATGAAGGAGATGTGAGGAGCTAACAAAGGGGCTAGAATCTTACAGCATTTTTATAATCATCTCAAAATGCACTGATTCTTGGAAAATTAGCAAAATAGTGCAATCTGGAGGATTAATCTGTGATGAATTAAGGACCTTTAAGTATTGAGATGTGTCTCTTCCAATGGTTTAAGACCTGCCAGTGAGGTATCTGGAAGACTTGGCTATTATTTCAGTATTAGTGCTGCCTGCCTTATATCTGCCTTTTTCTGTGGCCCACCTTCAACATTTCCAGTAAAACCAGCTCCCTACTTTACTCACAAAACCAATGCTTTTTCAGGTAATCAACAGAAATTAGATAACACAATTAATACACCAGAAATACATGCAGGCCAGTATGATCAGCTGGTAAACTCTTTTACCCCACACTTTTGAGCTAAGTCAAAGCAAGCAGATGTCCAGAAATCAATAACCACAGATCCAAAGATGAGTTTATGACTCAAGGATCATTTTTGTCCCATCACAGAAATGAAACCATCAAGCTCTGTCTTACAAGAGTTTAGGTTCCTTATGCCACCGTGTAGCATGTAAAACAGTTCTAGATATTGGATAATTTCAATTTCGAGAGCAAATTTATTGCTGGACTCAATCTTATACAAATATTACCTTTTAATTTAAAAAGTTGTTTTCCCTTAATTTATTCCTTCAAGTATATTTAGAAGTATTGTCATAACCAACATTGTCATTGCCAACAAAATTAACAGTTTTTTCCTTTTAATTTACCTCCTAACCCTGCTCTGTCCTGAATTCACAGTGGTAAATTACTCAGTCTTTCAACATGTTGTCTGCATAGAGTGTAAATGAGATCTCAGTCTGTGAGAAGGTACTAAAAGTTTGCTTTTCTGGAAGTTCCTTGACTGATGCCTAGAAAAATTGTTACAGTTGATAAATGTGATAATTCTGCTAGAAACTCTTCCTATATATTCTTCGTCAATTGAGAAAGAGGGGCTGCTTCAAGGAGCAGCAGTGAGTGGAGCCTGACTGGAGATGGCCCCGGGGTTTTTAATGCAAAAAGGCATTCATTGGATACTTCTTCATTTTACCCATCTTCCTAGCAATTTGCTTCTGCACCAGAGAAACAAGTACTTATAAAACATGTTAAGTTTGCATAAAATTCCATTACTTTGTTAAAACGAAATCGTGTTAAGAGAGAGAGTTTTCCTTTCTGTCCATATTAGGAAAATTAATTCTTGGGATATATTTTTAAAATCTCCACAGGTGGTCAGGCTCTGGACTGCAGTAGAAGAAATGACTTCACCATCCTCAGCTGTACAAGTTGTTGGTTTTGGCTGTTCAATAGTTCATGAAATCTGGTTAATTATTATTGTTTGTTTTAATACTTATAAGTCCTTCTGGGTGAATTTTATAAAACATTTATTTTTATTGCTTATATAACTACCTAAAATGTTTTTCTTGGTAGACAGCTGTACTGTTTTTGCCAAAACAGATTCTATTTCAATTTGGGGAAATTGTTGGAAAGTTAATATTCTTGTTTTCAATGGTGCCTGTGCCATGCTATTAAACTGAGCTTTACGGAGATGAAAAATGGTTCTTGACAAGGATCATAACCATTTGTTTACCCTAACTGAGCTGTGTGGCCCTGTCCCATTTGGAATTGGGTGGCGGTTCTCTCTCATACACAGCAATGCTTAACCCATACCTTCCTAGCTGCCTGTCAGCCCTCAGTGGTCTCAGTCATAACATTCTCAAACATTCCATGGCTTCTGGCCTTCCGTGTCCCGGATGAGATGTAGGACTGTGCTGGACCTGTGAGTGTCCCTGTTTCTATGCATGTGAAGAAGCAGAGCCAGCAAGAAAACTGCAAGGCCAGTACTGTTAAGAGCAGGCAGGAAGAAATCTCTCTATCAGTAGAATCCAGCAGGCAACTACATTTTTCAGTATCTTTCTTAAAGTGAACAAATATGTTCATGAAAGGAGCTAGGTTTCTTAATAGTCAGTATTCCTAATGAAAGGCACTTCATTCCAAACACTTATGTGCTCTAACGGTAACCTTGTAATTCAGTGTTAAGGTGGTGGTGACAGGCTTTATACTCACTTATTCTTCTGGCAGCTGTATCAGCTTAAACAGTTCACAGTTTTTGTTTGATAGATTTGTAGACAAAGGAAGGCTCTCATCAGCCTTTGTTCTGCTTGACTAAATAAGAAGTTTCCTCTTCTCTTACTTTCCCTTACCATATTTTCATACTTTGTGTAAGGATTCAAGTCTGACTTAACCTTGAATGTTACTTGTACAAAATATTCCACTAATGGTAATCCCTTAGTGGTGCTTGACGAAGCACAGTGGCTACTTCATCTCTTCTGGGATACCTCAGTATCATATTTGCATTTTCCTTGCAAAAGTGTTTTTGTTTTTACATTTTGTGCTCATCTGTTTTTCTAAGCTTTTCCTCAATAGTTTCCAGATAACTGATTATGAAATGAAAATTCTATAGGGTTTTATTGTTTTATTAGTCCACTTTGAGAGTCTGTTGTTCATGTCCTGGTCTCTAGACTACATATTGTCATCAGAGTGGTGGCAATGACATCAAGTAATTTCAGCCCCATGAACAATCTTTAAGGAAGTCAGCATTAGTGACTTACTTTTAACTTGATACTATTCCTTTTCAATATGATGTATGGCTGTATCATCTGTATTCAGATCCTTGTTCACCTCATGTTTCCTTTGCCAATGCCGTCATCCCCAGCTTAGTATATACTTTTCCACATAACACCACATCAGAAGCTTCATGGGAGTCTAAGTAAATTCACTATGTTTCATTTTTCTATTTTAGAAATGGAGACAGACACTGCAGTAACATAAGATGTACTGCTATTACCATCGTGGCCAAAATCATCATCTGTCTGTTTTTAATCACTAAGCCAGCTTAGTGGTACAGAGGTCCTGCTTCTTTCCTTCTTGTGGAGTCTCAACACGTGTACAAAACCTTTTGCTTTGTATTTTAGCATCTTCATTGAGAATGGTTCAAATGATTCTAACAATTCTCACTTTACATTGTATTTTCATCCTTCTGAGGCATAGCTTTCTTACTGATCAATCTTTTTTTTCTTACTTTTTGACACTTTGTGTTATATCTAGAAATATCTTTCATAATCTGAAGCATTCTCCTGCTTGCATTCATTCCCATGCTTCCCCCTTTAACCACCATCAAATATTTTCATCCCTTTTGACTTGAAGCAATTCAGACCCTTTCACGTTCACATGCTGAAATTCCGTCCATGGTTTATTTCAATCAATTACTCTTGTAATTATTAAAGCTTGTCATTTCAGAGTTGTGAGGTTTAGTTATAGACCTGCTTTTGTTTCTTCTTTGTTTCTGTTAAATTATTCCCTGGTCAGTCATGAAAGCTTATTTTCTTTGACGTGTCCGAAGCAACATAGTCAAAAGTCACAAAGCAGTAACATCTTTGATGATACAGGTACTATAACATTTTTACTGCTTCCTTGAATATCGAGTAAAGAACTTTGAGTAAAGAACTGTTCATGTGAAGAATACTTGGATGTTTCACATTTCTACTCATTAGGTATTTCTTTTTTTCCAAATGCCAGGTTTCCCAATTACATTTACCTCTCTAATTGTGCATAGGTCACTCTGAAACTAATGCCCCCTATTTATTTCCACGGAGACTACAACTGATATGAACAGCACAATAACACTTTTGACAGAGCAAAGTCTTGGCTACAAAACACTGTTTTTCAACATAGTCACTACCATTAGTTGTGCATTTTCACCAGCAGTGAATAGGAGCCTGCATGCTGCGCTTGTAAAAATCTGCACCAACAAATCTTTCCCACTCCACATTCTCCACAGATACTGTCACATGAGTGAGTGCTATTTTTTACACATTTCTCTTTCTTTTACATGTCTACAGTGAATAGTTTAAATCTTTGTTCACTTCCCTACTTCCCTACTGACTGATGAAAATTCTTGCCCTTACATCATGACATTGCTTCAATACACTGTGGCATGATAATGTTTAATCACAGCTGTGGAATTTCTAAACCTGCTAAGAAGAGGTCCAGAGATGACATACTGTAGAATAAGTGATGGATACTTGTTTGTATCCCTCCTTGGAAAGATCCCAGAGTGCATACTAAACTTTGCAAACCAATTACAAACTATTATATTGAGGGAA